CACGCATGTGTGATGATTTGCAAATGCAGATTCAACGATCCATAAATACATGTACTATTATTCATAAATGTGTGATGGAAATTAATTCAAGAAATTTATATATACATATTTGTGTAAACATTTTAAATTTATTTAGGTAAGATGCATTTGTGTGAGCATTTGGGGAAATATTTATGCTTTTACTTGTGTATTTATGAATTGTGTTTTGAATTTACGAATCGGATTTTGTAAAAGTAAATTGTGCTGTGCATTTATGAATTTTGTTTTGCAAATGTGTTAGGCCGATCTGGCTCCATATTAAAATAGTTCAGATTCGTTTTTAATGGCAAAAGTGGTTATAAATATTTTCGTTTCTTTATTACGTTAATTTAGACATGTTTGGAATGTTTTTTTTCAAGCGGCCAGTGGCAGACAGTGAGTTAATCATACCCTATGTTTGATCAATTTAGCCTTCTCAAATCGTCACCACTTGACTAAAATAAAATCTATAGGCCTATATAAAATGCTTAAAAAAACAATGTTAGTTTAAATGGTTAACCTAGATAAATGTGTGCTATTAGGAGCGTATCCAATCGTTTGTGCAGAGAAGCTAAAGCGCACTTTGCAGGACATGGAGTCGCCAGCACGATCACTTGCATTTTTTTCTTATAACAGTGGATACAACCGTCATTTTTGCTCATAAAGGTAAGAGTAATACATCATTCGGGACTGTTAAGGGTCTACTTTTATTTGTGTGCACTCACAATATCAGAATACGTTGTGCTTTTTTAGAAAACAAACAGGATACGCTTTCTGCTGTCTCGGTCTTGAGCAGGAGCGCTTCACAAAAATGAACCGAAACCCTGCGAATATTCAAGCGGCCAGTGGCAGACAGTGAGTTAATCATAGCCTATGTTTGATCAATTTAGCCTTCTCAAATCATCACCACTTGACTAAAATAAAATCTATAGGCCTATATAAAATGCTTAAAAAAACAATGTTAGTTTAAATGGTTAACCTAGATAAATGTGTGCTATTAGGAGCGTATCCAATCGTTTGTGCAGAGAAGCTAAAGCGCACTTTGCAGGACATGGAGTCGCCAGCACGATCACTTGCATTTTTTTCTTATAAAAGTGGAAACAACCAGTCATTTTTGCTAATAAATGTAAGAGTAATACATCATTCGGGACTGTTAAGGGTCTACTTTTATTTGTGTGCACTCACAATATCAGAATACGTTGTGCTTTTTTAGAAAACAAACAGGATACGCTTTCTGCTGTCTCGGTCTTGAGCAGGAGCGCTTCACAAAAATGAACCGAAACCCTGCGAATATTCTATTTCCCCTGGAGCATTCATCATGGTAATTACTTTCTGGTGTTTTGCGGCAAGCTTTGCGTGCGCTTTAAGATGGAACTCTTCCAGCATTCGCTGCTGCTGGACACTAAACACCGTCCGAGCCGCTCTTGACAGTCGCGGTAGCACGGTCTCGTGTTGTTTCCACCAGCGTGGCAAATCTTTGTCATCACCATAATAATTGATGGATATCTAAAATATAAACATAAGGAGGAAGCAAGCCTGATGCCTGGCCCGTGTGATGGCTATGATGTGAAAATTGTCCCGAAGCCATATATAAGTTGGGCTCGGGCTGAAATGCAGGGCTCTAAAGCGCAGCTTGTTGCATTTAAGCAGCAAAAGTACACACAAAATTACACCAAAAGGGCCATCCTGGCCACACAGTTAAATAAATGATAATATTCAGTGATGTGAAATGTGGAGTAAGGTCTGGCGCAGTTGCAGCTTGTACTTATTACTAAAACAAGAAAGCAAACGAGTAGCATTAATAGTCATTCATTTTAGTTAACATATGCTATGATAATTTGAAAATATTTTTATTCTTATTGTAAAATAATGGAACATTTAGGTCATGAATTGTCTCAAAAGTTATAGAAATGTCATGGAAATGTATTGGTAAAAATGTGTACGAACCCTGTATAATCTCTTATGTTCTGTTTGGGTTTTGAGACTGCATTATTTAGTACAGTGGTTCCCAACCCTGGTCCTGGAGGCACCCCTACAACACTGCATGTTTTGCATGTCTCCTTAATCAAACACACCTGATTCAGATCATCAGCTCATTAGTAGAGACTCCAAGACCTGAAATTGGTGTGAGAAAGGAGACATGCAAAATGTGCAGTGTTGGGTGTGCCTCCAGAACCAGGGTTGGGAACCACTGATTTAGTGCATTTTGTCATCTATAGTTTGACGCATGAGAGTCCAACATTTACTGTTATCTTGGTGTGATTTTGCATGTCTCCTTAATCAAACACACCTGATTCAGATCATCAGCTCATTAGTAGAGACTCCAAGACCTGAAATTGGTGTGAGAAAGGAGACATGCAAAATGTGCAGTGTTGGGTGTGCCTCCAGAACCAGGGTTGGGAACCACTGATTTAGTGCATTGTTTGTCATCTATAGTTTGACGCATGAGAGTCCAACATTTACTGTTATCTTTGTGTGAGATGGTGGTGGTGATTGTTGTTGTTCCAAGAAGAGCCAATCGATGCACTCATGTGAAAGTGTCCTGTCAAACCTATTGCATCACACAAAGGACAAGTTTGCTGATTTTCACCCAGATCTACCGTTTATTTGTCAGCAGAAGTCCGCTGCATGACCCACAATAGCCCTATTCGCACGGGATTAGTATTATCTGGGGACCTTGTGTGATTTTTGAAATTACCCCCCCACATCTGAATTTTGTGTGGTGCATTCGCACGGCATAAGCGAACTTCTAAAAAGTTAAAATGTAGAAAATATTAGTTTATCGTGTATTTTGGCCAGATAAAAAGATAAATAGCATGACTTCATATCAGGTCAAAATTATGACTACAGAATAATGTCAAGTAATTGGCTAAAGTGTTCAATGCCTGCTGTGCACAAATAACAGATTTTATGCTTAAATATACATTTGAATATTAATGTAGACTTCCAACTACTTTGGTTTGTATGCGTGTGTATATGTGTGTGTGTATCTATGTATGTGTGTGTATCTATGTATGTGTGTGTATCTATGTGTGTGTGTGTGTGTGTATTCATGCATACATACATATATACACCCACGCACACACACACGCGCGTGTATGTCAGACTTGCATTCATTTCTCTATAGGTTTTACCCAATACGTAATTGTCCCATTTAGTTCTGAACTAAGATAGGCGTTCTCTGACATCACATGAAGTCCTTTTCTTCCCCTAGATTGTATATCTAAAAAAAAAAGTCACCAAATTCTAAATCAATCTATCCGAGGAAACCATTGGGAAAGAAAGAAAGAAAAAAAAATTTGTTTTTTTAATTCCCCATGGTCATGTGGGATCTTGCCAGAACACTCAAACAGAATAAGTGGTTCTTTGTGTAAGACTGAATTTATTTCCTCCCATTTGTCACTGCAAATTTGGCTCCTGACTGGTCAAGAAGAATGAGCATTGGTGATCACTCACTGAGTGCCATTTTCTACTTCATTGCTTGCAGTATGTTTGCGTGAAAAGATGTTGCCAAGTACACCAGCAGGACAGAATGATCAGTACTTTAGGACTGACCCATATAATCCTGACTCTTTGATTTGGAATGAGCAATCAGTAAAGACAGAGATGGTATGTAAGCGAGAGTGCCATTAGTCAGCTTGATTCTAGCTAGTGGTCAAATGTCACCACAGATGATTTGACTTACTGTTGTTAATGTATAATTTTATACATGAAATGACATCACAAATTCTATTTGTAACATTTATTTATGTATTTTCACAAATTAAAAGCTATTGTTAAAGTAATATCTGGAAATTACAGCTATAATTTAAGTCTGACTAAATGGGATCATAAACCTTTCTGTAAAAAAAATAAAAAAGTCTGTTTGCACACTGGTATGCAGTGCAAATAGTTTTACTGTTACTGCACTTTGATATTCTTCTTGACACATAGGCTAATGAATTGTCTGTCTCACACATTCAGAGATCATTTTCAAGAAATTTAGATAATTTTCAAAGCATTCTTGCCAACTTGTCAAGATTATCACAATCATTCTTGCAATTTGTTCCAAACCAAAAAACTTCAGAAGAATTTGCATTAAACATTCAGAAATTCATGTATTTGTAGTATAAATGAGGCATAAAAATGGCTCCATTAACTAACCCAAAACACACTCATATTGACCCTAGATCAGCAGAACATTATTGTTCACTCCCGCATGTTACTGCAAAGTGTAAGCCATGATGTGTCTCAGCTGATCACGTGTGATAGGATCACCAGAGATTAATACAGGGTGAATACTGGGCATCGCACTGAATTTCTTCAACTTTTTATTTATTTTTTTATAGCACTTTTACAGATCCCATGTTCAAAGTACAGTGAAGCGCCTTTAAAATGGATAGATAGCGACAGAGATCCTGAGGATAATGAGGGAGGGACAGGGAAAGTTTAGTGGTTCACATGTCACGTATACAGGAGCTGTACACAGGAAGTAGAGCAAGCCGCCTTAATTCGCTTGATCCCTCCAGAGCTCCTTGTGCCTGTGGGAGCGTGAGTGTGCAGTAATGTGATTTGTTCCATGGGATGACCAGTGACGACACATGGGATCTGGAGAGCTGGGGCTGGACGGTGCTGTGTGTATTACACCTGTTTGTTTGTTTTTCTGTATTTAAGTGTATTGCAGGAAGCCTTTGCTTTGATGCTAGTGCTGTTCTTGGTATTTATTTAAGGCTGGAACTTTAACAGCGGTAAGCTGACGTTAATTATACATTGTCAGGTTACTGTTTAGCAGGTGTTCTGCTCAGCAGCTGCTGTCTGAATGTCCTTTTGTCTCACTGTCAGACCTCAAGCAAGCAGAACGGCTCCAAAGTTCACAGACGTGAATGCTGGGATTGTTCCTAGAGAGATGGCAGTTGTTACTGTCCTTGAACCATTGGCTTGAGTTTAGAAATGGTGGCTGGGCACAGTTAGTGTAAAATGACTAGACCCATTGTTTAATTTTTACTAGATGGCTTTGATTTCTGTTTTTTGAGAGTTGAGTGTTTGGGATTGGAGTTTGTTTTCTCTGTTGTGGAGGTTTAATGTGTACCAAATTCTTCACTTGTCCACTTGGTCTTTTGGTTAGTGAGGTGGGGTTTTTTTTTAGTATTTTTTTTTCCTCCCCTCTCCTGACCCATGGTGGCCCATTCTAAGGCAAACATCACTATATTCATGTTATTAATACTAGTGGTTCTACGAGCCCCTAAATAGTGATCTACCAGGACTTTTTTAAAGGTTAAAGGTGTTGTCTGATGAAGTGGTTAAGAGAGGCTCTCCCTTGTGCCTGTTTCCAAAGCTACACACAGCCTATAGTGCAGGGGTTTTTAAACCAGGGTCTGACTTTAAAAATGTATTTAGTTTATAGTAATGCACCTAGACCTGTCACGATAACAACTTTAGGTTGTGTGCTATATTGCCCCAGAAATAATTGCGGTAAGCTATTATTATTGTCGTTTTTAAAGACCATTTTATGCCACTGAATATATAATCTAGGGCTGGTCCGAATACCTTTTTTTTTTTTCCTTTTTTTTTTTTTCTTTTTTGAGCTTCGAAGCTTCGGTAATAATCAGCACCGAATATTCGAAGCTTCAGAGGGAGGGGGCTGAACATATTTTTCTCTCAACACCATGTCTACACTAGGCTTGCCGCGATAGACGGTGTTGACGGTTATACCAGTGTTAAGCCCCAACACCGGTTATGTCACTTGCCCACCGTGGCACCGATCCCCACCGTCGTTTGGATTTTTTTTATAGTAATAAAAATCTTTTAGTTCAGTAAAAGAACATACTACAATTAAAAATTGAACGAGGCTGCTCAATGCCGCGTGCCGAACAACAGTCGCATCACAGATCAGATTTCATTTCTCCAGTGAGGAGAGTGAGTCGAGCTGAGACAGACAAGACGATGGCGGATGATTTAGTTTCGAAACGAGATGCAAAAGCGCCTGTTTGGCAGTATTTTGGATTTTGAAAAGCCTGTTGACTTTTGCCATTTATCTGAGGTGATTTTGGAAGTTTTTTTTAAACATTCGTTTCTTATTTAATTGGTTCCACATTATTTGCTGATTTTTACTTTTAAACTTTGCGTCATTTATTTTATTTGACATCTAGGTGTATGCCGTGCCTCCAAGCTTTCTTACTCGGTTTGCTAATAAACGTTCTACTTATTTATTTGGTTATATATATATATTATACATGTTTACTTGGCCTATTTCCAGTTTTGCATACCTATTTAAACTTTATGCAAGTTATTTTATATTAGGCATAGCCTGCCCTATAGAATGGTGTATTTGTATTTGTTTTGTTAATAAAAGTTCTATGGTTTATATATAGGCTAAAGTGAGTGACATTGTATTTTGTTGTTGCATTCAAGCAATTGACGCCGACCTGCCGCTAATTCAAACGTGAAAGTAAAATGGGCATGGCGCTTTCAAGCTATTTAAAAGCGACAGATAGTGAAGAAAAGAGGGAAAATTCAAACGAACTAAAAACGAACACTGGCTTTACTCCGAATTGCCGCTATTTCAAAATGAAAGTAAAATGCGCACGCTATTTAAAAGCGAAGGAAAGCTAGGAAAAGAGGGAATGCCCCCATGGTGATACCGGTGTTGTCACACGTCGATTAACTGGTGGGAAAATTTCCTCACCGTCACAACCCTAGTCTACACCGGACGCCGTGGCAAAATACAATAGAACCTATAATGCTTTCTACACTGGATGTGGCGCGACAAATTCCCGAAGGTAAACTGCTGCTGCGTTCTATTTATGACGTACTGACACAAATTTCAATCGATTTTCAACGGTCGCTTTGTTGCATTCAGTGTAGACCGACTTTAGCTGTTGCGGCGCGACACGACAACTGTTGCATCCGGTGTAGACACGGTGTAATAAAGGCAGGAATCTCTGTGTCTGTCTGTTTGTATGGATTTTTATTATATTGAGAACAGTTCTTCCAATCGACTTCACGCATGTTAAGATAAGGCATGTTATTCGCAATTATGTGTTGTGGCTGGGTTGTTATAGGTCTGCGTGACTCTCGATGTCTTAGGCCTAATTGAACGGAGGAATTATGGTATTCTTCTGTAGCCAGACGACGAGTAACTTTAACTGTTGTTCATGTGAACTCAAAGACAGTTATAAGAGTTGATGTGACAAATACATCTTTTGAATGTACTGTGTGAACTCATTGCCCCGTTAGCTCGGAGAGCTTTATTTTCCCTCTAAGTTTTGCCAGTTGTTTTGTTTATTGGTCTAATTCTTGTTTCTTGGGTTGCATTGGTTAGTCACTCAATTAATTCTCTTGTGCTTCGTTCCCCCCTTCTGAATTGTTGTATTGATAAGGAGTTATCATAAAGTAAGTCTGTTTAGTTGTGCTATCTTACAATCAATATATAGTAAATGTAAGTTAAAGTGTCGCCGATGTAACCGGTTAAAACTAGGAGTGGCCTACACTTCCATATGACGACAAACTTTTAATTTAAGAATATTTAGATCATGAAAATGAAGTATTAGAATATATAAATATATATTTTTTTTTGGTAGAAGCATTTATTATTTTTTTTATTTGAACTAGCGCATCATGACTAGGGCTGAACGATTTTGGAAAATCTAATTGCGATATTTGAGAATTTTTTTTTAAACCAAGATTGCGATTTTTTTTTTTTTTTCATATGCAATTTTTTTTTTTTTTTTTTTTAAGCTATTTGTTCTGTAGTATTCAACAAAGACAAGCTATAAATCATTGTGTAGTATGCTCAACACACTATTAGATTAAACAAATGTTATTTTCTGTAGGCCAGGCCTATATGTTACGATGAAATTAGGTGATGCATGAATTGATATGAATGACATTTTTATTTAACAACTACAATCACAGTATATTGACTGATTTGTTGAACTTCCAACCTTGTAAGCATGTAGTAATTGTTTAAATAAGCTTGGTGTAAACATTAATATGAAAGTCAGTAACACATCACACGAACTAAAGTAGTTTGCAGAAATATAAAAACAAATCTGTTGCTTTACCACACTACTTTAGGTCATTCAAAGTCACTGTAATAAACATATGTAAACATGTGCACTGCACTTTTTAAACACTGTCTGTTAACTTTAGACCAGTGGTTCTCAAATTTTTTTGGTCGTGCCCCCCTTTAAACCTATAAAAAAAACCTTCCCCCCTTTCCTGAATCCCCATCCCACCTCAGACTACCAAATAATTTCACTTGGCATTCCAAAGGAAATCCTGACAGACCAAGGTACCCCGTTTATGGCAACCCCAATCATACTTAGCTGGAGAATACCTTTCTACAGAGAACACAAAGAAGAGGACTTTTGTTCACTCCGTTGTTGCACCTTGGAGGTTTCTTTCTCACTGTGCACCAATAAAAGCTCCTCCGGGGGAATTGAAGCACTTGTTGTTTGTGCCTCATTCATGATTCTGCCACACTGAAAATAGATGATTAAGCAGTTTGTTTATTCAATTTATGCCAAAAAACAGGCAAACAGTATTATTATTATTATTATTATTAGCAGTATATATTACAACAGGGGTGCCCAATCCTGTTCCTGGAGATCTACTTACCTGCAAATTTCAGTTCCAGCCCTGCTCCAACACAGCTGTCTGTAATTATCAAGTGCTCCTGGAGAGATTAAATAGCTGGTTTGGCTGTGATTGATTTAACTTAACTTTTATGATTATTATTCTCTATCCTTTTTTTTTTTTTTTGTGGGTTTCATGCTGTCCACTAAGGCATAGGACACACACAGGCTTTCCTCCTCACCAACGACATTAAACGCGTGTCTACACCGACGCGAGTGGCAAAAACCATACAGTAGAAACCATTATAATCAGTGACGCTTGTGTACACTGGATGCGGCGCGACACAACCCCACATTAAACTGATGCCTTGTTCTATTTATGACGTACTGACACAAAGTTAAAATGATTTGCAACGGTCACTTTGCTGCGTCGTGTAGAGCTGTTGCGGTGCGACGCGACAACTGTAGCGTAGTGAAGCCGAGAGCAAGATATGCCTCATCATATTTTCTGCATTTAGCTTGTGAATGACCACCACCTGCCTGGGTCTGTGCGACTTCATCTATGGCTTTTCTCTTCCCTTTCACAAACCGATCCATCTCCCATTCTAAGTTACGTCCTTTGGCTGTTTAACGTTTTATTTCTTTTCTTTTTCTGCTGATGGCCCGCGCTCGACTTGAAGCAGCGCTGCTTAGACCGATGGGTGTGTGTCATCAAAGTACTGCGAGAGCTATAAGAGACCAGACGTCTCCTTATGCTTTCTCTCGCCGTACTTTGACATGGACCGATCTGATCTTCAAGTCGAACACACCTCTTTACTCTCGTGTGTCACGTGACCGTGTAATCGCAGCCTCTGCGATTGAAAAATCGCGTTATTTCATATCGCGATATCGCAAATGCAATTAATCTTTCAGCCCTGCTCATGACTATACCACGCTATGTATGAGAGGCTGCAAAAGACCCAGGCGCAAGTGGAATGTACAAAACATGGTGACATTAGCCTAATTTAAGTAAATGTAATGGGCGATTATATTGAGTCACCAAAAATTGAGGTAATGTACAGGTGCATCTCAATAAATTAGAATGTCGTGGAAAAGTTTGTTTCAGTAGATAACCGCAATATCGCAATACCGCGCTATTGACAAGCAAACCGCAGAGGAATGCAAGAACCGCAGCAACTGATTTTTCCGTGTTTTATTTTTTCGTAAGGTTATGCCCTTCTCGATTTACACCATGCATGTGGACTGAATATTAAACAAGTTAGTAATGATAACATAATGTGTACCATGCTGATTTGTACAGAGGCTCCGTAGATTTGCACTTAACATGCCTAAACCGACTGAATGAGAGAGAGATCGACGGAGCACGTGCGATTACTTGCGTCTGTCCTCCAGGCTGAGTCATATATATTTGTGAAAATAGGTTGTCATGTCCAAGGAAAGTGAAATCTGTCTTAGCACCGACACATAGCTGGTCAGCAGAGCCTTCTAAAGGGGCGCTCAAAGTTAAAATGATTTCAACAGCGTGTTTCATTACGTCTCTTTGAATGAATGAATGAATCAGCGTTTTTGAACGTGTAGTTGAATGACAGCCACCACCTTGTGGCGCAACACTAACTGCACTGACTGACAGCCGTCTAGAACGCGCGCGCAGGAGGAAATATCATTGGAAAGTCTCTTGTCCAGTCAGATTAGAAGATCAGATTACAACTAGGCTAACTGGTATACATATAGGCTAACGATAGCCTAACAATCTTATTGTCAGGTTTATGTAGGTGTATATTTATGGTGGGAAAACCACATACCGCGCTATTGAGCCACTCAAAATTACCGCAAGGGAAATTCCCTCACTGCGACAACCCTAGCTACAGTTGTCGTATTCCTCTTGTTATGCCACTCCTGAACCACAGACAACGTCAGAGGTGTCTTACCTGGGCTGAGGAGAAGTAGTACTGGACTGTTGCCCAGTGGTCCAAAGTCCTCTTTTCAGATGAGAGCAAGTTTTGTATTTCATTTGGAAACCAAGGTCCTAGAGTCTGGAGGAAGGGTGGAGAAGCTCATAGCCCAAGTTGCTTAAAGTCCAGTGTTAAGTTTCCACAGTCTGTGATGATTTGGGGTGCAATGTCATCTGCTGGTGTTGGTCCATTGTGTTTTTTGAAAACCAACGTCACTGCACCCATTTACCAAGAAATTGATTCTTCACTTCATTCCTTCTGCTGACCAATTTTTTGAAGATGCTGATTTCATTTTCCAGCAGGATTCGGCACCTGTCCACACTGCCAAAAGCACCAAAAGTTGATTAAATGACCATGGTGTTGGTGTGCTTGGCTGGCCAGCAAACTCGCCAGAACTGCGTGTGTTTATTAGTCACGTTGATGCTGTGTTCTGTTCCGTCTCGGAGCGCATACACAGAAAGCCTCCTGAGGAACAGCGCAAGTTCTCTTTCGCACTTTTAATCGTTTTATCTCGATTTATTGTATTTACATAATCATTTGAGGCCGAAATCGAAACTATTTCGATTAATTGCACAGTCCTAAGTAAGTATTTTAATTTTACATAATTTTATTATTGACTTCAACCCATAAACCCCCCCCCCTTTTTTTTGAAACTCAGGAATAATCCAATGATATGAGAAATTGACCAGATTTGACCCCTTCCTTAAGACATTGTTCAGTTATTCTATTTCTAGACATTTGTCAGAAAATAAGTGTGTGAAGTCTGTGCATTAGAGGTCTTCACGGGTCCACTTGGATCCGAAAAACCAGAGGTCCGACCTGAGACCCGAGTGGTTTCGGGTCCAAAACTTGGAGTACTTCGGACACTGGTCGGGTTAGGTATTAGCGGTCTCGGGTAATTTAAAATAAACATGCATTTTTCCAAATGGACCCAAGTAGACCCGAGTTCTTTTAAACTATCCCGAATGCGTTCTAAGGAATGTAGTGTTACAATTGCAAAACTATTTTATTGAAGTTGTGGTGAAATAAGTTTGTGTGTGTGTGCATACAGAGGGGGAAAAGAACATGCTTTCCATTGATATAAGGTAATTTGACATTTTTATCATAGTCATTTTTGTTTGCTTGGTGTTTGTGGTTTCTGGTGTCTTTTACTGTTGTAGGGTGTAAATGGATGTTTGAAATAACTTGCTGAAGTGATATGTAACTAATGAAGTTAACAGACCTGCAACCGCATAGCTGTGTGTTTACATAGTCAGCCAATCAGAATCAAGCATTCAACAGCCCTTTGGTTAAACTCTCTCTTCTATGGTAGCTGATCCTAATTAGTCTTAATTAGTGCTTTTTGTCTCCATCAGTTCCAGCTACTCATCTTCAGCACAAGACTTTGAGAGGGAGCTCAGGATTGGGCCCGTCTACGAGTCACCCAGGATGTCCAGACGCAGTCTCCGTCTGCACACCAACACAAGTCATTATGGAGATGACGGTCTGCTTGACTCGTCTCTAAACCACAGTGCCTCCTTCAGCCGTGACCAGTGAGTGCAGTTTGTCCATGAAACTCAGCAGGGGATTATTAAGCAAAAATTATATAAGAATTAGGCCATTAGTGCCATATTATAATGCAAAATGCATTTTCTTTTCTTTTAAGGAATTTTAGTTTGACCTTTAATGTTGGCATAAAGGAACAGACAAATTAAATTATTTAACTAAGTGTAGAAGAGACAAAAAAAGCTACCATTTAAATTACTTTTGTTTTATGTTTCCAGTGGCCAAGTAACTGAAATCTAATGCAGTTGCAGAATTAGCCACACACACAGATGCAGCTACTTTGTGTACACTAGAGGTCCTCTTGCCATCATTATTAAAGGGGTCCTGTTATGTCTTTTTACGAAGTCTAGATTTGGTTTTTGGGGTGTACAGGAATAGGTTTTCATGCTTGATTGATCTCTCTTCCCAGTCTGTCTCAGGTGACCTGTTTAGTGCCGGGTTCAATAAGGCCCCTCTTTCCAAAATATGAAATCTGCTCTGATTGGTTAGCTGGCCCACTATGTTGTGATAGGCGTACCGCACGTTTCATCTGCTCAGGTGTAAATATTAACAATGGTGTCAATTTTGCCTTTTGTTGTAGTTCTTGAAGTGTTTTCTGTTAAAGAGAATATCTCCCTTTGGGGTGGACTTTGAGCTTTGTAACCTTGCAGATCTTTTTTACACTCAAAAAGCAGCATTACACAGTTGAAAGAATAATAGAACCCCTTTAACATGATAATTCACTTGAAAATGAATTTCATTTACTCACCCTAAAGTCGTTTCAAAACTGTTAAAGAGTTTCTTTTGCTGACCACCGAAGATATTTTGAATGTGGGTAACCAGTTTCTGGTCCCCATTGACTTCCATAGTATGGAAGTCAGTGTGGACCAACAGCTGTTGGGTTACCCACATTCTTTAAAATTTCTTGAGTGTTCAAGATTAGGAAAAGTTGTGTAGTGTATTTCAGCTTTGTCACTTGTTTAAAAAAAAACACAGCTTTGTAAGAAAGTTGATGAGGACGATGAAGATCTCAAAGATGTTTATTGCAGAATGAAGGAGTCGGAATGAACCACGAACATCCTAAGCTCAAACATTTTATACACTTGGTTTACTACCCTCAATGTAAATGAAGTTGCTTCTGTTGTTACAGCTGTGGTCTATGTTAATTAAGTTCTGACACCCCTATGTCTGAGGTGGTTCTCAGTGTCTCACACCTGCTCCCATTCTACAATTGGTCACCATTTGCTCAGGATGTGGTCATCCCAAGGGATCTACAAACAACATAACTGTTGACTTTCTTCTTCTCTATAATAAAGCCATTTTGGGAAATGAGCATGATCAAACATATTGTGGAGTGGAATCTGGGTCAGGGCAGACTATAGATTCTTACAGCTTCAATGCATTAACAATATTGGCTAAAAAGGAGGAGGCATCAGGAAAATAAAGCCAGCAATATTTTGGTTCCGTTACCGTCCTCTCTCTCCTCTTATTCTGTCTCTGTCTTGCAGGACACTGAAGAGCAGAAGAGCTCATCACTCTGTTTTAGGGACACCACAGATTGTTCAAACTCCGAGGTCTGCCTCAACGTCAATCCTGCAGGCCCAAAACAGCACACTGAACAGCTGTGCGCCCAGCAATGCCTCTCTGCTGTCCTCTTTCTTAGACGAGTCCTCCATACAGCAACACACCCTAGTCGACAGCTTCTGGGGTCAGTGCCAGCAGACCTTCATGATCACAATGATATGATACTCTGAGTTGAAATGAACAGATTGGTGGACAACTGAAGCATTGATTTGATTATTTATTTTTTTGTAATATTAGGTTTGGATGAAGACTGTGATGTTAAGGGTAAGTGTTTTTTTGTTTGGTTTTTATTTTTTATTTTATTTTGGAGCTGTATTTATTTTGATTGGATTTTTATTTTAGATCAGACAATCATTGCACACCACAGCACAGTGGAGGCCAAAACACAGACCTCTACAGCACAGAATGGCTACATTTGCAAAGACTGCCCCAATGCCTCTCCATCCAAGAATAACAGTTCCCTTCATGATGCTACTGGGCATCAGGCGCCACCCAGCACAGCCTCCTATCCAAACACTACGTTGTACTGCAGGGACAAGAATCGCAAACACAAGCCAGGTGAGACAGTTTGATAACGCACTATAAATCTGCTGTTTCCCCTTTTCCTGTAATGTCAAACACCTTGCCTGATGGGGTCAGGTTTCTCCTGGTCTTCAGAAATGGGCTCTGAGTCCTTCAGTTCTTTGGATGTGGAGTATTGAAGGGAAAGTGCCGGCTTGACTTCATTGTGTCTGCAGGTTTGCTGGGGAGGTTGTCTGAGACGTGCCTGCATAACAGAAAGAGAATTGCTGCATTTGTAGTGTACATGTGCACAATACTGATGCAGACGGCTCTGCTCAAAGGTATCAGCCTTGGTTAGTCTGTCGTTCACCCCTCCAGGCTGTGGGGTTCCTCACTAGATGGTTTATGGCTGTTTGGGTGTCTGTCTTTTCAACATGTCACTGTCCGAGTGTGAAACTAGCCTATGTTCAGATTAGGTTCTCGAGTACAGTGACAATATTGGAAATATTTTCCATAGTATCTTCATTTTAAGATGCATTTTACATCTTAAAATGAAGAGACCCGGATAATTGTTTGGATGGATTTGGATTTTAGTACAGATCTGCACACTGCATGCATGCAAAGCAGCCTGCTGGGTAAAGATGTTCTCCACAACCACCGTCACTCACTCTGTCTCTGTTCACAGTCTTTTCTGACCACTCTCACTTTCAGATATCTTTGATCATAAGACCTTATGTGTTGATTTAATATCAGTCCATATCTCTCCAGGCCTGCTGTCATCAGTGTTGCAGTGGTGTGTGCGAGTGTGTAAGGGAATCGCTCGCTCTACAGCCACTGTGCTGAGGAAGACACTGCAGTCTGTGCAGCAGAAGAGAGCAACCTCCGGCTGTGCTAACGGAGGTATCGCTTCCTCTCAGACCTTCTGGTGCCTGGATATTATGTCCACTTATTAACCGAACTACTGTTCACACTGTACAAACAGCCAGAAACAGGCAATTTCTTATTCTTAAGCAATAACTTGTTACGCTCATGATGTCACATTTCAAGAGAAAATCATTAACTTAAGGAATTTTGAGGCTGTTTTGTTGTAGGTTTTCTAGAAATGTTAGATAGTTCTTAACTAGGCTCTTGATTGGTGACCGACACATTTGTTCTCAGCAAATAGTTATTAAAGAAATTGAATTGGTGAACTGGGGCTCCAGCCCTCTACGAACACTTTGGCAATTGAATCGCCATTGGCTAGTACATTTTTTTTTTTTGTTTACTCGCCAGACTTGTGTGTGTGTATATGTATATGTATATGTATATGTATATGTATATGTATATACATACACCGGTATATGTATGTATGTGTTTGTAAAATGGCACCGTTTTATAAATATTTGAAAGTACACTCTTAACATCAGTCAGTCAAGCATTATAATATGATAATCAATATTTAATGATAGAACTTTAGTAATTGGAATTAAAACTTGATAGCCATGTATGAATGCATATTAGTCATTTTAACGGAACTTCGGACTGGGGGTGGTGCTCTTTTGGTCATTCAGTGTTTCTGTAAAAAAAAAATTAAATTGGGGAAAAACTAACAAAAATACTGATTAGATAATAATGATACGAATTCTACTAAGAACACTATAAAACGCACCAAGGATTAATGAGCTACTGGATTCATGAATATTAATCAGGTTGTGTGTGTTTGCTCGAACTGATTTGCTGAAATCAAAACAGGGACGATAATAGTTGAGCGCCAGCCAATGAGATTGCCGTTTGCGCATTAGTTCCGCCCACTACCGGAGAAAGCGGTAGTTCTTAAAAGCTGAAGAATTCCAAAGGAACTCCGTTATTTTGACAGCAAAATACAACAAAGAATATCGTTTACATGTAGCGCGTCATTTCTCTCTCTCCCTCTCTCGCTGCGTGTGTGTTAAACAGCGACGGCGAGTCGTGCGCTTCACACTAGAGTTTATGGTACGTTAAACAGGTGCGTTGCACGTCCATTCAGATGAACTGAAAAACGGCACAGATCGCTTGGCAGAGAGTGAAACTCTGATGCTCTCAGTCAGAGAGTGTTCGGCGAGTGAAAATATATCTGAGCTAAACTTATACTTGGCCTCCAACTCACACTGGCGAGTAAAATATGAGAATTTATTAGCTATTGGCTAATATTAGACATCATTTAGTCGCCCAGAGTGAAGATTTAGTCGCATATGCGAGTGATTTACTTGCAATGTAGAGGGTTGGGCTCAATTAACGCTAGAAAACTATGTAAAAATTGAATCATCTGGCCCTCAAAACAAATGTAGTTAAGGAGCCCTGATGTAAATAGCCCCTTTCTGGTATCCTTGCAGGCATCATACAAAAGATATCTGGTTTGCCGGTATTCCGTCAACTTGAAATTGAAGTTGCAATAACAGATATAACTGTTTGTAAACCAGGTTAGTAAGTGGGTTATCACAGTGGTCTTATATTAAGTATAATGTTAGTCACCCTAAAGGTGAAGTGCATCTTCTGTGTCACTTACGGAATTGAATGCAACTTCCAAAACCCCATGGAGCCCATTTTATTATTATTTTATGACACCATATGAACACAAGTGTTCACACTGATACTAAAATGACCATTCGTAAAAATTATCATCATTCTTCCTCTGTACTTGGTAAGCAAAATATATACAGCCCTTTCCATGAATAGGATACAAAGTGGGCCTGAAAATGATTTGTGTGCATAATTCAAGTACATTTAACCACAATAAATTGACAGACATCGCATGTTTAAAACTACTTTCTTTCCACGGCATGTTGATTTTAATGGTAAATTATTTAGTTAATTTACTTAAGTTAAAAAAATAATGGAACTCTCTTGCTTTAGCTGCAGATCTGTTTCTGGTTGAGGACCCCGTGTGACAACCACTAGTCTTTTTGTTTTGTTTGTTCGTTTCTCCCCCTCCTTCTCCTAGGTTTTGCATTTGAGCACCTGTCTCTTCTTTCTGTCTTTGTAATTTTAGTCCCTTAGTGGAAGTCTGTCTCAGGATTGGCAAATGCAACTCATCTTTGGTTATCCCATTACACCTGAACAGTCATTTCTGATGAACCCTTCTCACCCTCTCACTTTTTATAACAGGCCACTTTAGTCTCTTCCATGGTGTTTGACCTCCTACAGCCACTGTAACGTACAACTTTTGTTCTCCTTCCAGATGTTTCTTCGAAGCATGATTACACTGTGCATAAACAAATGCACCTGTCCACCATGAGCACTGCCTTGGTTACATGCAAATCTCTCTTGTTGGAGTCTGTCTATGCAGAGCTGGGATTGGAGGAGTGAAGAAGACCGGTACAGAATTGTGAAGGACTCTTGGCTTTATCTGATGTTTGTTCTGTTTTTCATCATAGGCAATGAGAAATACTACAGCAGTATGAGTGTTAAAGAGGTAGTGCTGCAAAAGGAACGACCGAAGATCAGCGGCGTACTATGTAAGTACACATACTTCACTTTCAGATATTTTTCCACTTCAAATCATTAGGCGTTCATATTTAAAGTTGTGTACTGTAAGGAACAAGGCACACAGGGTTGGAACGACATGTGGGTGAGTAAATTATGACAGAATAACAGCATTTTTTTGGTCCGTTATAGTTTTAATTGTGCCTATTAATCATGCTGCCTTTTTAAGATACCTTTCCTTTGGTTAAACTATAAGGTAGTATTGCATATTTCCATTGAGAATGCATTTGTAAACGTAAATCATAATTGTAATCAATACACCAAATTGCCTATGCATTTCGCATGAGTAGTGCTATTTTTCATGCCACTGTTGGCTGCTTACGTGGTTTCAATTAAGTCACGATTGCTAATTGATTTATTGGCCAGTGTTGGGGATCTGATTTTCACCGCAGGGTATATATCAGTGTAGATTTAAATACAAATTAAACGGCCATCTAAAAAACTGACTGACTTGTTTGATTGCGACCATTAGAAGGAAGCTGCTTAGGTAGAGTCACTAGGTATTGTAGTTGCATACCCTGATGAATAATAGCAGAATGATTCATAAATGATTGCTCTAGTAGATGCACAGTACAGGCTCGGTGTTTGCACACTTTTGCCTACAGCATCGGTTTAAAAATGTCTATTGATTAGAAGCACAACAAATGTTGAGGGAGTAGAACTTTAACACGCAATTTAACGTGTCATTTTCAACCGTGCACCGATTCTGACAGGTGATGACTGCAAAGGGAAGCACAATTTTGCAACGGACACTCATTCTTCCCAGGAAGAGAAACCTGTAGTGACCTTATGGTCACTCATAGTTTCCACAGGTTATATAATCATCTTTCTTACCCTCAATCTTTGGTCATTCCAAGCTTATAGTTTGGGAATAGTTGACAAGCCAGTTAATGCTGCTGTGAGCTCCTTCCCTGCATTGATGGTTTTCAGGTTGTGGTCAGGGCATTTTCTCCCCAGCAGGTGTGGGTTTGTCTCTGTGAAGAGCTTTCAGACAACTTTGCATGGCTTTTCTCTTTGTTCAGCTTTCTGCGGCTCTGATTCCATTTGACAATCTCTTTCCTTTTCACATGTAGTTATTATAACTCTAAGCATCTTTTCTTGTCATGCATCCTATTTGTTCATGCATATTAAATACATTCAGGCAATAATCCTGTTAGAGCTCTTGTTTACAGTTACAATGGGGTCCTGAAATTACAAAAGAGCACCCAGCGCATATTGAATATTTTAAACGATTAAAGCATTGAAGTAAAATGAAGAGAGATTCAATATGCTGCACTAGTGAAGTCAGTAATCAAATGTAAGCAAATTAGTGACATTGACCTAGTGTTTTTTTTTCTTGTCCAGATTGTTGTCAGATTTTCCTCCATTGAAGCGCAAGTTGTTTTTTAACAAGGTTTTTATAACTTTTTTTTTTTTCTCGCATCATGCAACCCTCTGTCTGATCCTTAGATGGCATGACAGCAGAAAGGGCCTGTTTATTTCGAAGACATTTATGTAAACCTCTTTGCATGAGAAATACTGCATTGCTGCTTTCAGTTTTAAACTAGTCCATCCCTTTATTTCAGCCTCTATTTCAGAACCAGGTGTTTTAGCAGTTTATTTGCATAGTGCAACTCTTCTCAAATGCAACTTTTCAAAAGGTCAAAGAAAATGATAACATGAGCCCTTTTAAAGCATGCAAAATAACAGAAATGTGGAGAAAAATTATCACCTTTTCACTCTTTTTCACACTTTTAAATAAAAAAAGAAAAGTGTTGAATTGAAGAGTTTTTACTAGTAGTCTCATTACCTCTAGACCCTACTGTATGTATTTCATCTACTCCAATTTTAGGAGGCTTGTGTTTTTATTTTCAGGATGAATGCTACAAGATGAAAAATTTGAAATTTGTCAGCTTTTTGCAAATCTCGTGTGTGACCTCTCGCTGTACACCCTACCCCTGCTCAGTGCCCTAAAGAGTATGTGCTAATCAACACTTCAGTGTTTTTTTTTTTTTCTTTACTCATGCTTTACTCTGTATGTTTCCAGGGAAGACAACCTCAGGAAGCTTCTTGTTGCTGGTTGATTTCTTTGCAAAGTGAGTTTTGCTCTCTTTTCCAATCAGTTCTTTCTGTACCTATCGGTGTCTAATGCACATCCAGTGTGGTTACATAAGTGTTATTTAACACTTGATTCATTGATAACAATTTCAACTGAAATCTTCACCATGATAGAACACTTACCCTATGTTTCTCAACTTTCTTGATTAAATGACTACTAATTAAATTTAGGAAAACTCTGATAACCGGTCCGATAACTGGCTAGCTTTCATTTTATACGAAATTGTATTATCATTGAAATTTTCTGCGAATTGTTTACACTTACTTGCAGCAAATGGACCATTATTTAACTCTGATCTATGTTCTTCCAGCGTGTGCCCGATCTCATTTTGAGTACTAATCTTTTTTTAGTTTTATTTGACATTGTCAGTTCTGCTCAAAGCAACAGTAAGTGATTCTCAAAAACTATCAAAGATTTAAGTCTCTTAATCACACTGAATGGTCACACATCACTATAAATACAATATAGCTAGATCTAAAATCTGTAGGATCACTTGTTATTGTTTTGTACTGGCCAGCCCCAAAACTTGCTATTTGGTCAGGCACGAAGGCATTATTGAAATACAGTACAACTTTAAAATGTGTGTAGTTAAATGTGCTATACAAATAAATTTTACTTCATTCGTTAAATAGACAGTCCATAAACTTAATTGGTTAATTTCTTTAATTGGAGAGCCAAAAGCCATACCGGGAGCCAAAACACTGCTAGTGTGTTAAAGTATAATGTCACACAAATTTTAACCTGTCTTCATCCTCTCTTCCAGGTGTCTCCCTATGCTCTCGAAAGTCCTTTTTCTTGTACCTTTCCTTCTGTTTCTTGGTGAGCTTGATGTTCATGAGTGATTATTGGTCTAAATGGAAATAAGGTCCTGCATCCTCATGCGTTTCTTCTGTGTCCTTCCTGAAAGCTTTGTGCTACTGGGGGCCGTCCGGACTGTTAGCCATGCTGCCTTCTGCTAATGTGATGGTGTGGAGAGACGCTTCCCATGTCACCCCTCCATCCACCTCCATGGGCGACTCGGAGGAGAGACAAACTCCCCCTGACACACACACTCAGGTTGTATTTACCCTTAGGATTTTACTAGTGTATTGTAACCTGCTGAATTAGCTTTCTTTCTACAAATACCAAAATATTAAGTTGACTGTCTTCTCTCCCTCTTCACAGAGGCCCTCAGTTCTGTCGTTGTCGTCGGTAGAGGCGGAGAGGTTAATGCGTTTAGAGGACAACTTGTCTCAGCTGTGGGATCGAGTAACGGGGGGTTTGCTCAGGCAGGAGGAGCAGCACACTGAAGTGCTCAGTCTGTATAACACGCTGCGCTCAGAGCTCCACACAGAGAGACTCACAGACCGAGAGGGTCTGGGAAAGTGGATTGGAGACCTGCTGGAGGAGCGATTCAGCCTGCTGAAAGGCGAGGTGCAGAAAGAGGCCAAGTACACGCACCAGGTAATTAGTAAATCTGGAATTAAAGTTCCGTTGCTACGACTGATTTCCGTCAGTTCATTAAGACAGTCACTTGCTTCATTCCTGAATGATTCTGCCGCTCGAACAAATCAATTGAATGAATGATTCGGTGATAAAATCAGTGACTTGCCGCCACCTGCTGGCGGATTTAGTTTCATTTTTGGTGTATAATTTGTTATTTGATCATTTCTGTATTCAAAATTGTATATTTAAAACATTAATCACCACTTGAATTTATGAATTTAATTGCGCTCATGCCACCTCTGAGCCTCATTAAACATCTGAATGTACCTACAAGCCATTTTTGTGTTCTTCTGTGCCACCTCTGTAGTACAAATGTATTAATACTAATTTCATATGATTAACTTATTTGTCTTATTCTACTTATATTATTGCAGGGGTTAAAGCAAAAAAATATATTTTGACTGAAATTTCTTCGACCAAACCCCATTCCTTAGCCTTACCTGTCTGTCACACACCCAGTTTAAGAGCAGTTTTTTTCCCCTTGTAATTAGGAGCGCTTGTCCTCCTAATTTAAGAAGTTAGAAGCACCTTCTGATCAATCAAAACTTCTGATCAAAAATTAGCCTTCCTAATACGAGGTGACATTTGACTCCTTAAAGTGACTTACAGGAGTATTTTCTTTTTGCCTTTGTAATGGCATTTTCATCTGTCAAATTCAAAAATGTTTCTTTTTAAAATTTCTATTTAAAACTATGTAGAATAAGACAAGTTACCAATCATATGAAATTAATATTAATAAATTAATTTGTACTACAGAGGTGGCACAGAAGAACACAAAAGTGGGCTTGTAGGTAGTCTAGGTACATTTTCAGATGTTTAATGAGGCTCAGAGGTGGCATGAGTGCAATTTAAATTAATAAATTCATGTGGACATTAATGTTTTAAATATGCAATTTTAAATACAGAAATATGATCAAATAACTGAAATTATACGCTAAAAATTAAACTAAATCCGCCAGCAGGTGGTGGCAAGTCACTGATTTTATCACTGAATCATTCATTCAATTGATTCGTTAGAGCAGCTGAATCATTCAGGAATGAAGCAAGTGACTGTCTTTATGAACTGATGGAAATCTGTCGTAGCGACGGAACTTTAATCCCCGAGTAAATGCTCGTCATTTAAAACAATTTAAATTTGACCATGATGTGGACAACTTTTACCAAACATTAGAAGAGGTAAGGCAGATATTCTGTGTTGAAATGAACATGCAAACATGAGTCACTGACAGAAATTGAGATTAACATTTAAAATGCAGACCAAAGAATTTTGGGGTGTCAGGTTGTTTTATATTGTTCTCAGTTTAAAGACCTGTTTATTGTCAGTTATATATTATGTAATATCTTGATGAACAATCTTCAATTCTGTCTCTGTCTGTAGCATCAGGAAAAGCATGCAGAAGAGCGTCAGTCAGAGAACACTCGACTCGCTGAAGCTGAGGCTCTCCTTCAGACGTTGGCACGCAAAACTGAGGTGCGACAAATTATACAAGGAACACACAAGATGCTTTCTTATCAGCATGCAGGATTTAGTTTATTTAGTGGGAGGCTCTAAACCACTGATGTGAGTTATCTTTGGGCCAGAGTTCACAATTTTTTTTTGAATGTGATATGATTTCTGATTCAGTAATCAAGTGAGTCAGCTGTGCAAATTCAGCTGTATTGATTGACTTGTTTAATTTAGGAGTTGCAGAGAAAACAAGGCCCTGCTTTTAGAAAGATTCCTGAGGCTGAGGCGCCTGCCCCTGATCCTCACAGGTCATTATCTTAAATCTGGTTTAAACCGTCAACAGTGTTGTGTCTCAATCATTAAAGTAATATTCAAGGTACTTCATGTAAACTGGTGTAGTAATGCATGTCTGTTCCTCTTCAGTGAAGAGGCTGAGAGCAGCTCCAGTGAGGATTTGCTGGCAGAAGTGAAGCGGCTAGAGGACACTTTGGAGCGCATCAGAGACGATGTGCAGGGGCTGATGGGATGCAGAGAAAAGTGTGAGCAGCTGGACTCCCTTTCAGTCTCGGTAAGTGCTCTGTTGCCATTTCAGTTCATCATCTGTAGTTTTTGCAGTGTCTAATTTTCATACCTGGCATTTTAACATCCTTATCTAACCCTTATAAAGCATTTAAATAATTTTTATCCTGGAAGAAATGCATTTCTAAAATAATTAGAGAAAAATTCTAAGACTTAAAAAAATATTTATATAAAAAAAAATAAGCATCTTAATAGTCTTGCTACATTTTTAGAGTTATAACCATTCACTTATTAATGATAAGTTATTAATCCGATACAATATTGTTTTATAAGCTTATGTACCACCAGGTGAAAACTGGAATGTGTGGCAACAGTCCTGATGTTTGCATCCACATATAAATGTTTAAAATGAGATTACTACTAAATGGAATATTCCAAAAGCCAGATTTTTTTTTTTTTGCCATCTGTTTGAACAATCTCGTAACTCCTGGATCTGCTCTTGCAGGTATCCGAGCAGGTGGAGAAGGAAATCAGGTCTCTGTTTTATGGCAGCGACAAAGCAGAAGACCTGGAGCTTCCTGAATCTCTCTTGCAGTGGCTTTCTGATCACTTTGTGAGCACCACTGAACTGCAGGCTTCACTCAGCGCTCTGGAAAGCAGCATTCTGGGTAACCTGTCCCTTCAGGTAGAGGAAGGCCAGTCACCTTCTAAAGAGACGATCACCCAAACTGTACGACAAGCCACAGGGGAGGCAGGCCTCTCCGAGGAAGTAAGCTATTGAGAACTTGTCTTGGAGTATTTTAAGAAATGAATAACTCTTTGTATAGATATGTAATGCTACTTTTGTGTTTTTTGTCTCCACAGCATGTACAGTTGATTGTCAACAATGCGATGAAGCTCTATTCAGAAGACCGCACCGGTCTGGTGGACTATGCATTGGAATCTGGAGGTATAGTAAAAGTCTTATCTCTGTGGCTCTAGTTTGTCATTTTTACAGTTGTTTGTTTAGCTGTAGGAATGTAAAACACAGAATTAGGGATTGCATGCATTCCATCTAGCAATATGTGTTGACGGTGCTCTGTAGATTATTTATAAATTGTAGTCCGTTACTGATTCCATAGTACATGACAACTTGTATTTATTAGAGTGATCCACTGCATTACACATTTTATGTAATATAATCAGATTACTTTTAAAATACATTTTACCTATCTTTTTAATCACATTGATTTAAGGTGCATTCACACCCGTCTTATTTGGTTCGATTGAATCGAACTCAAGCCACTTGTGCTTTTAGGGGACACTTTTAAAATTCATCTTAACCTACTTTGAGTAGGCCTATTATTCATTGTCATTTTTCATCATGCCATAAAATATTTTTGATACAACAGACTTTGCATTTAATGTGAATTTAATAAAAACATTAAGTTACTAATTACAACACTTTCATTGTACTGAAAGAGAGCAAAGAACATTTTCACTTCAGTGCTGCGAGTTCAAGCACTCTCAAAAACTCCCATTATAATCACTGAAGCTGTTTACACCTGTGAAATGAATATCTTGCTTGCATTCGTACGCACATCTGCAATTTGTTGTTTCTGATGAGAGAACTTGCCGGAGAATTCAGTCAGTGAGCGCGCACAGTGAATAAAACCGCGAACGGCTCTGATTGCTCATTGCATTCATAAGCTCAACAGACTCGTGTGTGTGTGTGTGTGTGATTGGTTATAATGCACAGTGCTGTAAAAACGTGTATGTCTCTGGCTCTGCGCCAGCCAGTGAATGCAGATTTGAATTTAGCGGCTGGGGGGGGCAAGCTTGTTGATATGGGGGTACTGGCCCCCCTTCCTTCCCAGAGCCGCCCCTACACCCTAGGCTGTAAAATTGTTGCGCATTTTTCAGTGGAACGTTGTCTGTCTTTGAATCTAATAAAGTCTGTATGCTACATGGAGAAAGCTATAATATAGATCGTGCTTGCTCTTTCCATTTGCGCGTTTAAAAAAATAAATAAATTATCGAACCTCAAACTCATCTATGCCACTTTGTTCATTCTTGAAGTAAACTTTTGCCCGTTTGGTGATTTTAAATAAATTTGTTTTGGACTGCCATTTCCCTGCTTTACATGTAAATAAGAAATAACATGAAATTGTGCCATTTAATGTGTTTGGAAAAACAAAAGCCTTCCAAAGACAGTAATGCATGGTTAAATAACCCACTGAATGATAATTCAAACAAAAATGAATGTGTGCATTAGTAGTTGATGCAGTGCTGAAATGTTGAAAAGCACTTTTTAGAACTGAATGAATCGAAATGATTTTTGTAAATCCAGTGGTCAAATGCTGTGACCTGTCAAATTACTAGTTTGAGTGAATGTCCACAAATCTGGAAGACTTTCTGAATTTATATATGCAGTATGCTATTTTAGAAAGGGAATTTTAAAAGATGAAAGTACTAAGAAGAATCAATAAGTGCTGAACTATTTCTGTTGTGCGAATAACATGTAATCGTGTAATTATAAAAAAAGTAACTGTAGTCTGATTACAAATATTTTAAAGTGTGATATAATTTAACTAAGTACTTAATTTTTGGAATCTGATTATGTAATCCAGATTACATGTAATCCATTACTACCCATTAATGTGTGTGGATATTAGATGAGCCCCATAAAAACCTACATTACTGTGTATTCTTATGCCACTTTGTTCATTCTTGAAGTAAACTTTTGCCCGTTTGGTGATTTTAAATAAATTTGTTTTGGACTGCCATTTCCCTGCTTTACATGTAAATAAGAAATAACATGAAATTGTGCCATTTAATGTGTTTGGAAAAACAAAAGCCTTCCAAAGACAGTAATGCATGGTTAAATAACCCACTGAATGATAATTCAAACAAAAATTAATGTGTGCATTAGTAGTTGATGCAGTGCTGAAATGTTGAAAAGCACTTTTTAGAACTGAATGAATCGAAATGATTTTTGTAAATCCAGTGGTCAAATGCTGTGACCTGTCAAATTACTAGTTTTTGAGTGAATGTCCACAAATCTGGAAGACTTTCTGAATTTATATATGCAGTATGCTATTTTAGAAAGGGAATTTTAAAAGATGAAAGAACTAAGAAGAATCAATAAGTGCTGAACTATTTCTGTTGTGCGAATAACATGTAATCGTGTAATTATAAAAAAAGTAACTGTAGTCTGATTACAAATATTTTAAAGTGTGATATAATTTAACTAAGTACTTAATTTTTGGAATCTGATTATGTAATCCAGATTACATGTAATCCATTACTACCCATCAATGTGTCTGGATATTAGATGAGCCCCATAAAAACCTACATTACTGTGTATTCTATCATCAAGTAGATGAGTTTAAGAAGGGTAGTTTGTGGGCCATGGTGTGACTTGAGCATACGTTTTGTTTTTTGCTTGTTTTCCTCTTTCTCTCTCAATGGTGCAATTTTTACCTGGTGCATCTTTTCGGAAAATAGCTTTAATACAATAGCTGTTTGTTTGAACTGGTTGTTCATCTGACTGGGAGAAAAACATGCTATTTGCATGCTATTTGATAACTGGGTGTATTGTGGTGAATTTGAATGTGTGTGTGTTTGTGTCTGTAGGAGGCAGCATCATAAGCACACGTTGTTCAGAGTCCTTTGACACCAAAACTGCACTGCTGAGTCTGTTTGGGCTTCCAATGTGGTACTTCTCCCAGTCACCTCGTGTAATCATACAGGTTTGATAACTTTCACAATTCTGATTTTCATTCATGTACATTTATTTTTAAAGTCGAGCATTAATTTAATGGTAGTCTCTCTCCATTCTTTCTCTTCATTTGTCCCTCCAGCCAGATGTGCATCCTGGGAACTGCTGGGCATTTAAAGGTTCACAAGGTTATCTGGTGATCGGGTTGTCCATGAAGATTGTGCCTACAGCCTTTTCTCTAGATCATGTGCCCAAATCTCTGTCGCCCACCGGAAACATCAGCAGCGCCCCACGGGAGTTCAATGTATTTGTGAGTACACTTGGAACTGAAATCGTATCGGGGTTTTCACATTTCTTGACTAAAGAATATATTACCAAGATTTTTATTTATTTATATATATATATATCATAGAGATTGCACCGTCAAAGAACCGTTTCTAGAAAATAAAATATTGTAGAGTGGAGTAAAAGTCAGTGTTCAGTGCCACATGATCCTTCAGTAATGATGCTGAAAATTCAGATTTGTCATAACTGGAATGAAAAAAGTCCTAATATTTTGAGGTTTTCCAGGTGTCTAATATTTAAGATTTAACTTGGGGTCAAAGTAATATATTTTTTGTTCTCTGTTCTATGAAAGGGTCTTGATGATGAGCAGCAGGAAGAGGGGCAGTTGCTTGGACAGTTTGTTTATGATGAAGATGGAGATGCTCTTCAGACCTTTTTTGTATCTGTAAGTATCACACAAGCACAATTTTCCTGTGTATTGTGATTTCTGTTGTTTAATGCATTTAATCACACTGTAGCTGCATGAAAATCAAGATGTAACTGACTAATGGCTTCTTGTGAATTGTTTTTTGTTGTTATAAATAAATAACGACGTCAATACAGGAGAAAAAAAATGTAAAAAGGAGGAGGCAGCTTGTCAGTGTGGACGTTGTAATTGTCATCTACCAGCAGTAGCTAACAGGGTCATGCTAACCAGCAAATATTTATTTGTAATCATTGATTGATTGATTGCCTAATCTTGTAATTCTGTCTCTGTCTTCCTCAAGGAGGAGGTCCCGAGAGGTTTTCAGATCATTGAGATGAAAGTGCTGTCTAACTGGGGTCATCCCGAATACACCTGTGTGTACCGTTTCCGGGTTCACGGGAAGCTTCTTGATGAAGAACTTGCAAGCAGTTAAGACTTTATGAACTCCTGACAGTCTGTCACTCATGCACTGAAAAAAGGAATTGAGCTCTTGAGAATAATGTGCCATGAGTTACACAGTTGGGCCTGGGATGACCTGAGGACATCTGATAAAGGATCGCATGCTGGTACATGTACTGTTAGGCCTGAGGGCCAGATTCAGCACTTGCACTCTTCTGAAGCATCACACAGCTTCCACTATTGTCAGTCATCAGGGTTATGCTTTTTTTTTTTTTTTTTTTTTTCTGTCGTTATTATATAATTGTTATCATTATTATACCCTATTTGGCAGGATTGTCACCAGCAAAAAATGCATTGACAGTGCTGAACTACAAACAAACCAGTGAAGAATGTATTTTAGACTAAATGTGTATGTTGTGTAAAGTTCCTCAGCTTTGTTGGGTTTTTTTTCCTTTTTTGTTTTTTTTTTCTTTGTTTTTTGCTAGCTAATATGTGCTCTATTTTAAGAATGGCTAGAGAAAAATCGCTATTTATTTTTGTGTATTTAAGTTGATATAAGTGACTTGGATTGTGTATTTTTGTAAATGCTTTTCATGATCTTTAATGCAGAGGATTTTGTAATTGCCATGTCTTCATAGGTTGGCTTTTCAAATAAAATTCAATTTTTTTTTTATTATTTTAAAGAAGGTTTGAATGGGTTTATTATAGGGCTGGGACGATACGCTAATCCGCTGATTCAATACTATCCCGATACTTGTGTGCCGATTCGATATGTATTGCAATTTATATAACTATTGTGATTCGATATTACCATTTATTTATTTCAAAAAATACATACTCTCAGTTGTACACACGGCGAACGTGCATTAAAATGTACATGAATTACGCAAATAAATAAGCAAATTATAAATTTGAATCAGAAAATATGCACATAAGCAAATTAAAAATGAACATTACAATATATGCACATAAAAATGTATTAAAATATGCACTTTGAAAAATATGCATCTAAAAAGCACAGTAGGCCTATAACATTGCACATTTTAAAAATGACAAAAAAGCCCTCCTGTATGCATATCCCTATCGACATCCAACAATTACAAAGCAAATATTTTGATCACACAAATAAAATGCATATAATGGAACATTCTGAGAAAAAATGAATAGCATATCTGTAAATAAAGAATAATCAATAGGGGGTTATTTTCCTTAAATTATTTAAACACGTTAAGAATTTTGATTTATTTGCGCACAGTAATGCGGTAATGTTGACAGCCCTAATTTATATGCAGAGTTGGGAGTAATGCAATCGGATTACTTTTTTCAAGTAACTAGTAAAGTAACGCATTACTGCGAAACGCATAAGAAAATATCGGAGTTACTTTCAAATCAGTGACACTTTTTTTCCCATTTATTGATTGAAAGCTCTCCTGTCCCCATGTTGAGAGAAATCAGGAGTAAGATGTTACTTTAGTTCTATGTGAACATGCATTAATTCATCTCACAAAAAAAAAATCTGATTTAGTTTTCCTCAATTAATAAAAACAGTTAAAAGCAATTCAGAATACGACTCAAAGCTGCACTAATTAAATGTTAAATAATACAAATATCCTTTATTTAGCTCTCCTGTCCCCATGTTGAGAGAAATCAGGAGTAAGATGTTACTTTAGTTCTATGTGAACATGCATTAATTCATCTCACAAAAAAAAAATCTGATTTAGTTTTCCTCAAAATTAATAAAAACAGTTAAAAGCAATTCAGAATACGACTCAAAGCTGCACTAATTAAATGTTAAATACAAATATCCTTTATTTAATCCCAGTTTATTAACTAATTTGCTGCTGCTGATCCAATTCAACCATACTAAGCAAAAATTGCACAAGATAAACTAACAGTTCTTCTTTTATTGCTGAAGAGTGTTGAACTTTCTTCTGTGTATACTGTACAGACGTGAATTTACATTTCCTTCAGCCTGAGGCTTTTGGTATGTGAAAGGGCTTTTAGGTTTGCCAAAAATAGAACTTTTTATATTAAAAGCAAACGAGCAAGCCCAGCCCAGATGTAAAAAGTAAGCGTAATTAGTTACTTTTTTAGGAAGTAACGCAATATTGTAATGCATTACTTATAAAAGTAACTTTCCCCAACACTGTTTATATGCATTTTATGCAAGTATTCTGCTATACTGTTGTAAAGATCTCATTGATTAACATTACGAGCTCAGAATTTAATCTTAGTTTTTGGCCATCTAAAAAGAACAACAGCTAGGCTACACCAAATTGCATATTTGTTGTTCAGTTCATGCCTCTGAATAAAATTAGGGTGTTTTAAGTGTGAGCCCCATATTCTTATAGCCTGTATCCTCCTGAGACCCAGCTATGGAGTTTTTGCCTCTGTAGTGGACATATTTTAGTGGATTTCTCTTCACATGTCACAGTTGTAAGTCTGGATGTCCTGTACAGAGCACATTCAGGGCTTTCCAGAGATACCAAATGATTGGATGTTTCACCGTGGCCACTCCCTCTCCCTTCCACTATTGTCAGTCATCAGGGTTTTTCTTTTTTTTTTTTTTTTTTTCTGTCGTTATTATATAATTGTTATCATTATTATACCCTATTTGGCAGGATTGTCACCAGCAAAAAATGCATTGACAGTGCTGAACTACAAACAAACCAGTGAAGAATGTATTTTAGACTAAATGTGTATGTTGTTTAAAGTTCCTCAGCTTTGTTGGGTTTTTTTTCCTTTTTTGTTTTTTTTTTCTTTGTTTTTTGCTAGCTAATATGTGCTCTATTTTAAGAATGGCTAGAGAAAAATCGCTATTTATTTTTGTGTATTTAAGTTGATATAAGTGACTTGGATTGTGTATTTTTGTAAATGCTTTTCATGATCTTTAATGCAGAGGATTTTGTAATTGCCATGTCTTCATAGGTTGGCTTTTCAAATAAAATTCAATTTTTTTTTTATTATTTTAAAGAAGGTTTGAATGGGTTTATTATAGGGCTGGGACGATACGCTAATCCGCTGATTCAATACTATCCCGATACTTGTGTGCCGATTCGATATGTATTGCAATTTATATAACTATTGTGATTCGATATTACCATTTATTTATTTCAAAAAATACATACTCTCAGTTGTACACACGGCGAACGTGCATTAAAATGTACATGAATTACGCAAGCAAATTATCAAATTATAAATTTGAATCAGAAAATATGCACATAAGCAAATTAAAAATGAACATTACAATATATGCACATATTAAAATATTAAAATATGCACTTTGAAAAATATGCATCTAAAAAGCACAGTAGGCCTATAACATTGCACATTTTAAAAATGACAAAAAAGCCCTCCTGTATGCATAGCCCTATCGACATCCAACAATTACAAAGCAAATATTTTGATCACACAAATAAAATGCATATAATGGAACATTCTGAGAAAAAATGAATAGCATATCTGTAAATAAAGAATAATCAATAGGGGGTTATTTTCCTTAAATTATTTAAACACGTTAAGAATTTTGATTTATTTGCGCACAGTAATGCGGTAATGTTGACAGCCCTAATTTATATGCAGAGTTGGGAGTAATGCAATCAGATTACTTTTTTCAAGTAACTAGTAAAGTAACGCATTACTACGAAACACATAAGAAAATATCGGAGTTACTTTCAAATCAGTGACACTTTTTTTCCCATTTATTGATTGAAAGCTCTCCTGTCCCCATGTTGAGAGAAATCAGGAGTAAGATGTTACTTTAGTTCTATGTGAACATGCATTAATTCATCTCACAAAAAAAAAATCTGATTTAGTTTTCCTCAATTAATAAAAACAGTTAAAAGCAATTCAGAATACGACTCAAAGCTGCACTAATTAAATGTTAAATAATACAAATATCCTTTATTTAATCCCAGTTTATTAACTAATTTGCTGCTGCTGATCCAATTCAACCATACTAAGCAAAAATTGCACAAGATAAACTAACAGTTCTTCTTTTATTGCTGAAGAGTGTTGAACTTTCTTCTGTGTATACTGTACAGACGTGAATTTACATTTCCTTCAGCCTGAGGCTTTTGGTATGTGAAAGGGCTTTTAGGTTTGCCAAAAATAGAACTTTTTATATTAAAAGCAAACGAGCAAGCCCAGCCCAGATGTAAAAAGTAAGCGTAATTAGTTACTTTTTTAGGAAGTAACGCAATATTGTAATGCATTACTTATAAAAGTAACTTTCCCCAACACTGTTTATATGCATTTTATGCAAGTATTCTGCTATACTGTTGTAAAGATCTCATTGATTAACATTACGAGCTCAGAATTTAATCTTAGTTTTTGGCCATCTAAAAAGAACAACAGCTAGGCTACACCAAATTGCATATTTGTTGTTCAGTTCATGCCTCTGAATAAAATTAGGGTGTTTTAAGTGTGAGCCCCATATTCTTATAGCCTGTATCCTCCTGAGACCCAGCTATGGAGTTTTTGCCTCTGTAGTGGACATATTTTAGTGGATTTCTCTTCACATGTCACAGTTGTAAGTCTGGATGTCCTGTACAGAGCACATTCAGGGCTTTCCAGAGATACCAAATGATTGGATGTTTCACCGTGGCCACTCCCTCTCCTTGGTTTTTAAAAATGCCTGACATTAATTTAGTGATCAAATTGTACATCCTTATGGAAATATGATAATATTTTGTAATTATAATTTAAATCGGATTAATTTTCAAATTGTTTGTCATAAATCAACATCTCAGGAAGATGTTATGGGGTTTCAAATCAAAATATGACTTCCTGTTATGAAACAGGACATATTTTCATACACGTCCACTGTAGAGGACACCAGGACTAAAAGCATGTTTATTATACATTTTGGGAGACAAAAGAATTGAATAGGAAAACAAATTATATATCAATATTCTTATGAAATATTATATATTATTATGAAAATCTGGCCAATGACTACTCCCATTATTACACTTCTTTTTTCAACATGCTGTCCCAACAGCACTTTAATATGCAAATTAGATGCAGTGTATAGATAACATTGTGCTTAATGGGGAAACCAGTTTATGGAATTTTTACACACATATTGCATAAAGCAAAATGGTATAACAAATCATTTTGTTATAACATAGTTGAGAACCATCCTTAAAGTTAGTTATAAAAAATCCTGAAACCTAAAAATTGATTGGTGATTTTAAAAAATTCCCATTGTTTTTGCCTTTTCATGTCTACTCTTGTCATTTTATTTTTCGAAAAACTGAGTCCTGGTGTCCTCTACAGAGGACATAGCATAACTTCTGAATAAAATATAATTTTTCAAAAATGTGATTTTACCATTTTTTT